TGCAGGGGAATCGCAGTGAAAATGCAGAATAAATTCAACACAAATCAGTATGAGTCGACCTCAAAAGTCATGCACCGACACATGCAGGATTTAAGACTCAGGATGAGTCGATACGAGAGGATCATGCGTTGACACATGCAGTGTTTCAGACTCAGTATGAGTTGACACAAGAGGTTACACGTCGAATCATGTAGGATTCCAGACCCAGTACACGTCGACTCAAAGAGACACGCGTCGACTCACGTAGTCCAATTTTTGATAGATTTTTCCAAAGGCTGTAACTTGAGTTTCTGGACTCTGTCCGAGGTTCTGTTTGAAGCGTTGGATAGTTAACACAATGAACTTCATTCATAAGGATTAAAATGAAGGATAAGAAGAATAATCCTAGTACCCAAATTAGGATAGAGTTAGCTTCATGCGTTAATCTCTATGATGATTTTGTGAAGTATAATGAGGATAAGACGATCTTAGATTATTGCTTGGGTTCATAACAGTAAGATTAATAATAATAATAATGATGTAGTATTATAGTATAAATGTATGTAGAGGTGTAGTAATTATAGATAAGCATTAGATCAGTGATTAATCGGCATAGTCGATAATTGTTCGAATATTTATGGGCGATATCATGTTGTAGGCCTATGGCCAATGTTGAATGGTTGTTGACCTGCTGTTGTGTTGTGGTTATGGTTGAGTTGCTGTGGATTTACGTGGATGAATTATGCTGATGATTTATGTTGATGAATTATGTTGATGAATTATGATGAGATGCCTCTAATTATTGGCAGTTATTGAGTTGTAGGATTCTGGCCAACAATGATTCGTGTTGAGATGTTGTTAGTTGTGGTTGTTGTTACTACATTCATGATTATGTCGCATACATTGCATATAAAGATGGAGCTGATACTCGTTAAGATGGTCGGTATTGGCGAATATTAAGATGAAGGCTTATGTCTTGTTGATGCCTCTTTTTATTGGCAATTATTTTAAGATGGGAGTTCTGCTCCAATGGTACCACATGCATTTGCATAGTATTGAGTCGCATTACATGATAGTATAAGGAAGTTGTGTATTGATGCGGTAAATGTTATATGTTGTTGATGTTCCCTTGCGATTATTGTTGTTTATAATATGTGAAGTGGTGATATTATATGATCTAGTCTAATATATTATTTATCATACGTTTTATAATATTGTTAGATATCTCACCCCTTTTGTTTGAATGTTACCCTTACGTTGGTAACATGCAGGTAATCCAGAGTGAGGGTGGTTCAACTTCAGTAGTTTGAGTTAGTGTCATTGCTCTTATACGTAACACTCGGGGGGATGAACGCTTATGTCTTTTAGTTATTGTTATTCCAGTTGTTGAACTTTAATTTGATTGTTGCTAAGTATGTGTTATTTCGAAGTTGCTGTAATGTTGGACAATGTTGTTATTATGATTCTGCTGCGTAGTTGTTCAAGTTGTTGAATTAAGAGATTAATTTATTTTTCTGTTGGTTCATCCGAAGTTTTAAAAGTGTTATGTATCATTGTTGAATGCAATGGTTTTTTTTTAAAGTTGAATTTGTGGCATCCTGATTCAGATGTATGAATTTTATAACTCTGATTTATATTTATAATTTCCGGGTAGAATTGGGGTTTTACACAAGGTCTCAAGTGGTTTTCATGGTTCTCCATAGGTCTCCAAGAATGCTCATGTCAAATTTCAAGCCTTACATCATAAGTTTGCTCAGTCAATTGCTCAGATGACTGAAAATCAACTATATTGGGTAAAAAGTTAATTATGATCAACATAATGTCAAACCTCAATATTTTTGGTCAACATAAAGATTTTGAAGTTATATCCAACATTTTATCAAGTGTTGATCATGATTCCTCAAGAAAAGTCCTCAAATCATCAAAAGTCAAAAGTTTCCAAATTAGGGTTTCCTTAGGAGAAGTCATCTGAACTTTGACCAAGCATAACTTTCACATGCTTCATCAGCTTTTCCCAAACCAAAGCTAATTTTTAAGGAAATTCAATTCTCTACAACTTTGTCTCTGTAAGCTCAAGTCTAAAAAATGCATCATTTGAGAGATATAAGCCAATACATTACAGGGCATTTCAAAAGTCAACAAAAAGACACTTCTTGTCAAGGAAATTTACATTAAGATAAAATCTTCAAAAGCAAAAATGATCAACATAGAGGTTGTATAGGACATCTTTAGATTTACAAAAAGTCTAAGATCACCTTCAAAAGATAAAAATTGAGTGAGTTATGACTAGTGCGAGTTGGGAAATTTTGAGCAAATGCATGAAGTTCAAATTGAGCAAGCTTGATATTTTGGACTATTGGGCCATAGTTTTGAGGTCCAAACGTGTGTTATACTCTTCATACACCCCATAATTCATTCATACACTCTTTGGCCTTATTTTATTTTTATTATTTTTATTATTTTTTATTTAATTCATTAATAATATAAAATAAAATAAGATAAAATTATATCTTACTACAAGAGTCCAAGCCCATCATTTGATTGCCCTAAATTTCTCTATATATATTCAGAAATCAAGAGGGAACAAGGACACAAAATCCTTGCCTCTCAAACTTGTCCAAATTTCCAAATATTTTTCAAGAACCATAAAGTCTTGAAATCCTATTTTCAAGCCCTTTCACCATAAAGTCTCCATTCCATTCACTTTTAAGAACATTGAAGGGTAGGCTTGGATTGGTTACCATGAGCCAAAGGGCCTGAAACATTCATATAAGCTATGGCCGGTTCTTGATTTTTTATCATTCATATATTTTTAATTGCATGTTGTTGTACCCCAATTTTCCCCCCTAAGATCCCTATATCATTTCATACCATCAATACACAAGATCGCGCATTAGGGTTTGGGTACTTCTCCTACTGCGTCTTATCTTTAAGTTTTCTCTTGAGAGATCACCAAGCAGCTTGAATAGTGTATCTTGTATATACGTGCTTTATATTTTAATGACCTCTTACCAAAGTCCAAAAATATGTTTTGTTTATCTTGTTTTTTTGTAAGTCAGGGTTTGGGATCAAGAAATTCAAGTGATGATTCTCCGATTAGGGTTGTGGTTTGTTCAGGCCAAAGATGGTCCCCAAAAACCTATGTTTCAAAATGGTGATCTATAATCTTAGGTCACGCAATTTTGAAGTTTCAACCATCTTGGTTGAGGCGAGCATAGTTGCTTAATTATCAAGATTCTTCGAGATAAGTTCATGTGTTTATTTCCATACCTTCTTCGACGTCTCAAGTTCATGAGTGATTAAGAATGCTTCGAGTTGTTGAAGAAAGGATCAAGTCTGCAGTTAATTTAAAGTTGGTTGGCTGAAAGTCAACATTTACAAGTTCGAGTTCAAAAGATCACAACTTCTTCATTATTCATTATTTTTGGTCGATTCTTCGAGCATATGAATCTGCTTGACATCATCTCCAACTTCTCTTTACAAGTCGAGAGCTAATTATGTGTAGAAGGCCATCAAAAATTTGAGTATATTAGAGGTTGTTTTGAGGACCTTGACCTATTTTCAAAGTGTTGGTCGTCCAAATTCCGATGATCACAACTCTTTCAATTTCCATTGTTGTGGGACGATTATTTTTGCAATATATCACAAATGGTGTTGTCTACAAATTTGTTTCAAAGAGCGAAGTTGAATTGTGCTTATAAGGGTGTGGAATTTGTGAGAACTTTATAGGTCACCTTTGGGCTTAAAAATTTCTTAATCATTTGATTTTCAATTTATATGGCCATACTTTCTTCTTCAAATATTATCCTTGTGGTCATTCAATTCAAGAGCTATGATATAAATTTCGAGTTTGAAGATTCATTGATTGTTTGTTGCTTGTGATACGAATAATTTGTGTTGAAACATTAACAATTATTGAATTAAAATAGAATTTTGATCCAAATTCCTAAAGCTTGGTTCGTGATGTTCTCAAAGACAAATTCCTAAATCTAATTGTTTCAATTATGGAGGATTCATTTATTTTGAATTTATGTTACTTGAAATTTAAAGAGTTTATGTCAAGAGTTCCAAAATTCAAAGAATGGAGGAAATTCTTCTTCTCATGAGTTTGAAAAAGAAATTACAAGTCATATTTAATAAGCTTCCAAGTTTCAAATTCAAGAGACTTCTATTTTGCCTAAATATCAAAGCTTTACAATATTGCAAGGGCAATCCATATTTATTTGTTTAAACTCAAGATACATCAATCCAATACAAGAATTCAAAACTATTCAAATGCAAAATTGAAGAATTCATTCTTGAGAATTAATATATTCATCAATGCTACAAGGACATTTCAAGTCCTTTTCATCAAGGAAAATTCAAGGAGATTTCAAGATATTAGTCAAGATGCAACTTCATTATTTATTAATTATTCAAACATTCTAAAGCTTTTCTCAAGAATTCAAATTCATGATGGAGGGAAGATAGAAATTTCAAAATTTGAGTTTGAAAGAAAGTTATTACATGTTCAAGAGTTCTAATTACTCCATCTTACACAATTCTCAAGCATTCAAGTGTAATTACAAGTTCTACAAAGCATCCTTCAAAATTACAAAAGAAGGATGCAAGAAGCAATTTTCATCCAAATGGAATTTAAAGGTTAAGAATAAACAAGAAATTCTTCAAGTTTCTTGAATACATTTCTTTTTGAAGCTCCAAGACTTTTGAATTATGGCTTGCATTTCCCAAACTCAATGCTATGGTTTCATCATGAAGATCCATAACCACAATTCTTACTATTTTCCATATTACTCCCATTGCATTCAACACATGAAAAGAAAGAAAAGATGGTATGTTAGCATATCAATTCATTAAAAAAACAACAAAATTCACACAAGCTAGCAAGATTTGAATTGTATGTTTAAGGCCTCATTTGTTGCATAAATCGGAATTTTGGTTTAATCATCGACCCGTGACCTCTATTACAAATGACAAACCCAATATTTGGTTCACAATAGAGGTTAAAAAACAGTTTGTGCATGGATACGAGCCCAAAAAAACGGCATCGCAACATCACTGTAAAAAAGAAGAAAAAAAACAAGTCGGGAATCACAGTTTTCCAGCCCAACAAACAAAGGCCTCATCTGCTGCATATAAAAGAAAACAGATTCATATTTAATCATTGGCCCATGACACTTTTTGAAAATCACAAACTTTGTTTAGTTCACAAAGAGAGGCTCAAGAAGCAAGTTATTGCAGACTCAGAGTTTCATCACAATTTTTCCAGCCCAATAGCAAAAAACATAGTCACTGCAGTAACATTTTCAGAAAATTTCCAAAGCCCAATAAAAATTTCAGCAAGCTTATTATCAGAATTGAGAAATAACTACCACAAATGAGAAATTCACAAGGTCCCAAGAGAGGAAATGCAACCAGGCCTGTTATCAAAACTCAGAGCAACAAAACAAGCTCACGTATCCAGAATCCGAAAGATAACACCTTAATGCTAGGCCTAAAATGTTTTTCACAACCTATTGTCAAAAACTCAGATCTATAAAAAGTCTCAGCAAAAATATCAAAAATAAGAAAATTGAAAAAAGTTGGACCCTAACATGACACATTTGGTTAGGCTATTCTCAAACAGATTTTAATGTTCTAATTTCATCCATTTCAACCCAATCTTAATTCATGGGACAAAGGCTAAAAAACGATAAGTATATAAAGGTGTCATACCCCAATATTTGACCTAAGATCCCATTTTTATTGTTTGCATTTTTATATAAAAGTCAAGGTCACGAAGTACGGTCGATTTTAACTTCTCACCTTCGAGCATTGACTATGCAGAAATTGTCAAGTATTTCGAACATTCTTCGCCTATGTATCACTAACTTCTAATCAAGCACGAAGTGTATATTTTTCATCTCTTTGATTTCATTTGCAGGAAACAGATCTGAATCAAGAGCATTAGGTATCACGCCTCGATTAGAGTTCAGAATCTCTCAAGCCAGAAGTACATTTGATCGTTGATTCTTGAAGACTGACTCATCAGGGGAATCGTGTGTTTATTTCCACGCCTTGTTCGACAAGTGGTCTCAAGCTTCTCCACAACTTTCTCAGAGCATAAACAAGATTTCATCATCACGGGTTCACATGTGCATCAAGATGCTTTGGAATGCGAAGAAAGATCAAGTTTGCTTCCATCCAATTCAAAGCCTTGAATTGCAATTTTTCAAGAAAGTCATCCGCAAGGGCAAAATGGTCAAAAGCACACTGAAAAGTCAAACTTTAACTTTCAGATCAAATCAAGTTTCAACAATTTTATTTCATCAAGATATGAGATTGGTTCATCAAAAAATCAAGAGTCAGAAGTTACTTTGGAAAAATCAAATTTTCTAAACATTTAGAAAATTTTCTAAGTGTTAAGAGTATGTGATACTTCAGAACTTCTGAGCCAGTCTCCATGCAAGTGCAGTCAGAAGTTGCAAATTTGGTTCAAAACATAGCCTTCAATCAGAACATGGCTCTTCAGCCTCCATGCAAGTGCAGTCAGAAGTTGCAAATTTGGTTTAGAACATAGCCTTCAATCAGAACATGGCTCTTCAGCCTCCATGCAAGTGCAGTCAAAAGTTGCAAACGTGGTTTAGAATACAATCTTCCATCAGAACGTGACTCTTCAGCACATAGAGTTTACGCTTCTGATCTTCTGTGATCAAAACATCACCAAATCCCAAAACCTCGTTTCAGTAACCTGCTGCCCTGCTACATTACAGTGCTGTAGTTAGCTGCTGACCCAGTCCATGCCTGCACTTTCTCAAACCCCATATTTGCATCAAATTAGCATACGAAAACTGTGATTAAAAAAGAATTGGAATAGTATACCAAAAAGGTTTGAATCCCATCCCCCCCCCCCCAAAACCACAACAATCCCCTCTATAGATACTTTGCTCCATCACACGTTCAAGGGGTTGATTTTTTTTGGAAGAGAGATAGGGGCTGGTTTTTGGAAGAGAGATTGGTAAAAAAGGGAGAGAAAGGGAATTTGAAACCTTCATAAAAGTCCAGAAATCCCAAACAGAAAACCAAACCTTTGTTCTTCCCTTTAAATCAAAGAACTTGGAATTTTCTCTTCCGTTACTCTTGTTGATTCCAGAACATCCAAAGACAGCAACTCAAAGCTCCGAGCATGCTCCAGGTTCAAGGTAAGTCTTTCTGACTTTGCTTGTTTTTCATTCTGAACTTCTATGATTTTTCTCACTGTTGACACACACTGAACTTCTGATGTTCACTCACTGTTCTAACACAACACAAAACTTCTGAGTTCTCCTTACATGTCAAGTACACTTAACTTCTGATGTTTTCACTCCCTGTTTTAACACTTGGAACTTTTTATTTTTATGCACTGATAACACCCTAAACTGCTGATTGTTCGTTCACTGTCATAGCATCATACAGAACTTTTGAGTTCTTCCTACTATTTTGACACGCACAGAACTTCTAAGGTTTTCTCATTGTTCTAACATTCAGAAGTTCAGCACATAGAAATTCAAAACTTCTGTGTTTTCCATCTAAGATGTCTTGTAGGACCTCAGAGTGTATCAATCCATAACTTCTGACACTTCCTTCGGAATCACCACGCGCTTGGCTTCAGAACTTCTGATCCCTGTTTGTTTTGCTTGCAGTAGTGCGCTGTTTCTATCTTTCATTTATTTTCTTTCTCATCATTTTTAATATTAACTCCTTTTTTATATTAACATAAAAAGACATAAATATATTTTCCTTTTAATTTATTCTTTTTTTTAATTCATTATGACAAAAAACTCAATTTTCAAACTCACACCTTTTAAGTCAAAACTTCGACATTAGGTCGTCGTATCTTCAAAATCTCGTCTACACCCATTTTTAGCCAAACAAACCATTTTAATCAAACAAACAATTTTAAAAAAACAGATATTTCAAAAGGTTCCTATAAGATACTATAGATGCATTGGGTGCTAATACCTTCCCATTGCATAACCAACCCCCGGACTCTAGATCTCTTTTCAAAAATGCATTGTATTTTTATTACTTTAAATATTATTGTATATTGCATATTTTAGGGTTTTATTACGCTCTTTTCCCTTTTCTATTGGAAATAATAAAGCGCGGTGGCGACTCTTGCTATTTGCGAGTCAAGTTAATTAATAGCTTGATCTCCGATTTTTACCGCTACAGAATTGGCGACTCTGCTGGGGATAAGGTTGACCTCTTGCTGGTCCATCCCTAAGTCGGTTAAGCCTAATTTGTAATATCTGTTTTTGTTATTATTACTTGTTTGTTTGATTATATGTGATATATTGTGATTATTTGGGTGTTGATAATATTTAGAAAGGACAAGTCCTATACCCGGACTAAGTTACACTTAGGAATAGGACGGGAGGTATAGTCATGTTAGCTTTGAGGGAGTAATCCCGAAGAAGGAGACATGAAATCCCCCACTGAGTGGAAGCCCCTTTGAATATAGTATTTGTTTACCGAGTAATTGGGAAGACATTATTGCTTTCGACCTGGGAGCCAGAGAAGTTGAGAACCGTAGAGCCCTAACCCATCTTGGCCTCTTAGGTGTAGTGAGGAGACTATAACGGAGTTATCCGGAAGTAGTTGTCACGCGATGGTGCACTCAGACGAGTTTCTCTTGAGAATATCGCTAATTACCGAGTAACTGGGACGTTGGTAATATCCGAAGGAGGAATGTAGACTCTGGGAACTTTTAGAACCTTGTTTTACAGGTGTGATTAAACCTTTAGTACATACCTTGGGGATGGTCTTTACCTTTGACTCCATGCTCGTGACGTTGAACCTTTCGACTTTGTTTATAACCTTGCTTGTGGTTGTTGCATATCCATGCCTTCATGCATCCATAAAACCCTTTTCACTCGATTTTCAAGGAATTTGGAAGTCTTTCTTTGTAAACATCACAAGTTTCGTTAAGCTCAATGGATCTTGGGTGTTGATGGGGTGAAAACCCTAATCCACCAAAATGGATGATTGATCTTGATGATAACTTGATCAACGCTTTGATCCAATTTAAAATTCATCTTCTATCATCATACTTTTATGTTTACAACTTAATATCTTGAGTTCCTTGAAAGTCAAATAAAAACTCTCTTTTGCATATCATACATCATTATACATTTTTTTGTTTCACTTTCAAAAGTCATTTCCAAGTCTTAGTTTTTCCTTTGGTCTCTAGTACAACACTCACGCTAAGAGAACAATGGAGAATATCAAGCAAGAGGTTTCTGAACTCCGTAGAGAGATGATTAATTTGAAAGCTATTATGGAGCACTTAACTGGTTTGATTGAAATTTTGGTTTCCGCCCAAGTCAATCCTTCTAAGAAAGAAGAAGTGATGGAAAAGGTCTTCATTGAAACTATGAAATCATTCTTTCATGAGAAGATGATAATTAATGCGCCTAGTGACTTTCTTAACAAGGTGAATATGGGTGTGCATCTAGAAGAAGATGTCCGAAAGGGATTTTTATATAAAGATGGTGGCTCAGCTAGTGGTGTGAAGAAGTTTAATAATAACTTTTCTAAGAAGAGAGTCGGAGGAAGAAATAATCATCGCCAGAATCACCATGTTCCTTCTATCATCCATGCATTCAATTTACCTTCTGTAGCTTCAGTTCACTAACAAAATCAGCAAGTTCCTAATCAGAGGAAAATTCAGTTTGATCCAATTCCAACAACCTATACAGAGTTATTTCCTGTCCTGATGCAGAGGAATTTGGTTCAGACCCGACCTCCACCGAAAGTTTCGAGAAGATGCATTGGTACTACAAAACTGATTTGACTTGTGCCTTTCATCAAGGTGCTTCTGGGAACGACTTGGAGGGTTTCTTTGCTTTGAAGATTGAGGTACAGAAGATGGTTAGAGGTGGTATTTTATCATTTAAAGACGGAAGTCTTAACATTCAAGTCAACCCCTTTGCTAAAGCATGAGTGAATCTCTGTTGATTTTGGCCTTGAAGTTTAGGAGAGATTTCCTTTAGCACAAGTCTAGATGGAAAGCCTTCCCAGATTATTAACTCATTTATGCTTTTTGTAATTTTTCTTGTTGTTTGCATGTAAGAACTTGTTTACATTTGAATGATTATCTTAATACAATGAGTATGTTTGTCTTGATGAAATTCATTCGTTTCACTCATATTTGTTTTTAAATTTTAAATTGCTTTTTGCATTATGATACCAACTTGTTGCCCATTCTCCTGCCTAGGCAGAGATTTAAGGGAGGATGATGATCTAAAAACACAAAATCTCTGGTTGTACGCTTTTTGAATAAAATCTTGCTGACGATGTACATACATTGTTTCAAATGCCTAAACACCGGAGATATAAGGAAGATAATCCCTTGCTAACCACTTTTGAGCATTGAAGTAGGAGTTTCTTTTCTATACGAAAAAACCCTCAAATTTTAACCTGGGGCAGGGTATTTTTCAGTTAATCTGATTGAGTGTTCAAAATTCATAAGGAAGACATTTCTGAAGAGAAACTACAAGGGCTATCCTTCATGTATAATGAATCCAGAAGATTTGGAACCACAATATTATCCCTCATTCATCAAGAAACGAGGTAGTCACAATCCTATCAACAAGTAAAGACAAGCTAATGTCACATGTTTTGTTCAAAAATCAAAAAAAGAAAAAAGAAAAAAGAAAAAGCCTGCTAAGTTGAAAACTTGAATACGTGCGGCTTAGGAAAAAATTAGGGCATCCCTCTGGACTATCAATTCAAAAGAATTAGTTCAGGCAAAAGTTAGGGAAAATAAAGAATTGTAGAGAAAGGAATACAAAGAAAAGTCCTCAGCAAAGAACAAATTGGTGACTACAAACACGAAGACATAAGGGTGGTTGTTACTCCGAAAGCCTCGTCGTTTCCTTAACCGTCATAAAATACTTTTGAGATGAAGACTCATGTTGAATTAACTGAACATAGGGTTGGAGAACATCACTAAGAATGGGTGGGCACCTATAAATTTTGAGCCTTAAAAATCTTTTTTCTAAAAACCATGAACCATGCCACGTTACAACCTTCAAAAGTCCTAATTGAAGTAAGGTTATTTTGAAAGAATACTTCAATGAGATATTTCTCCTGACTCCAATGAATGTTTGCTAAATAGTTATGTTGGTATCATATGCTTTTGCTATACAAAAATAAATGTTTCTCTAACTCACAAAATTTGTGCGATATCTTTTCAAAATCTTCAAGACTTACATAACTGTTGCATTAGAATTTTCATTCTCATAATAAACTTTTTCTAACTGCAAAACATTTGTTTGACATCAGGGAAGCTCACATATAAGCACTAGCGACGCGTTTATTCTTTTAAGGCCTGAAACTCTATTGAGTAATTGGCTAATCATTTCAATAAAATCATATCCAGGGGCATGTCACATGAATACCTTAAGCACGGACGTGTTGCTTTTCCTAGTTAATGCTTCCCCAACTTGTTTACCCTTTTGGGGCAAAATATGAAGACTTAGTTGTGTCAAGTACAATCAATCTAGGGAAATCACGTCAAGATTCGAAGAATCTCTCTAAGATTTTGAAGACACTAGAGCATTGAGGATGCCAGGTCTTCTGTAAAATCCTCTTGATATGATTTCTTGGGATATTTTAGAAGTGAAGTTATTCACAAGAATTGCCGTGCATCACGCAGCTTATCAACAATAAACTTGGGGCATACAAAATTAGTTCCAGGGGAAATCCAGATTTGTCAAGATATGTGATATGTTTCGTTCACATTATCAAAGGGCAGTGTTCCCAGTATCTCCAGCTAAGCTAGACTCTTTCCTGCTGAAGCATTGTTCGTGTTGTTATCCTTTTAATGGATTATTGACGATAGAAGACTGGACTTTGGGTTTTCTACCGAAAAATACCTTCCTCTCCAGAGAGATTTAAGCCTTGTAAAAGGAATTTACTCCAATGATGGCTTTTGTTCTATCTCTGGTAATGTTCCCATCTTGTTGAGATTAGCCGAGTGTCGAGTTGTACTGTGATGTCTTATCATCTCCAGTTTAGCTTTTCTATCTGTTTTGTCAATCATATACATGACATTCCTTTATTCATCCACACTTGCATCATGCATGCACATTTGTATTTGCTGATGTTATTGGGTTCATATACCTTGGTTATGTCTATTCAAATAGCGTATTTTCTCTTTCCAAATAGAGTGTCAACTTAATCAGAATGTGCGCCTCCTTTCTAATTCCCTACTGAGCTAATCCTCATGGAATAATTTTGCTTAGCCTTCCTTGTCCATCTCTGGATAGGATGAATCCCCAATCAAGTTATTTCCTCATTGGGTGGAGTCTTGTTTGATTTTTTTCTCTCTGTTTTATTCCTGGATTGAGCTTTGTCTCTTGCATAGGCTACCCCGTGGTGTTCTCTAGGCTGTTAAACCTGGATGAAGAGCGCATTTTTTTGCGCAGTAATATACTTGGTATCCTCAAGAAGGACATATTCATGGTTCCCTTTGAAGAAGAACTTTATTCCCTAGTAGTGTTACCATAACATCCTTTTGGAATATCGACAAAACAGCAAGCGGCAGTCTCTTCATAAGCAACTTGTGTGTTATTGATACCTTTGAAAAAAAAGCAAGCGACGGTCTCTTCATGAGCAACTTGTGTGTTATTGATACCTTTGAAAAACAACAAGCGGCGGTCTCTTCATGAGCAACTTGTGTGTTATTGATACCTTTGAAAAAAAACAACAAGCAGCGGTCTCTTCATGAGCAACTTGTGTGTTATTGTTACCTTTGAAAACAACAAGCGGCGGTCTCTTCATGAGAAACTTGTGTGTTATTAATACCTTTGAAAAAAAAACAAGCGGCGGTCTCTTCATGAGCAACTTGTGTGTTATTTTTACCTTTGAAAACAACAAGCGGTGGTCTATTCATGAGCAACTTGTATGTAATGGATACTTTTGAAAAAACAACAAGCGGCGGTCTCTTCATTAGTAACTTGTGTGTTATTGTTACCTTTGAAAACAACAAGCGGCGGTCTCTTCATGAGCAACTTGTATGTTATGGATACTTTTGAAAAAACAGCAAGCGGCGGTCTCTTCATGAGCAACTTGTGTGTTATTGATACCTTTGAAAAAACAGCAAACGACGGTCTCTTCATGAGCAACTTGTGTTTTATTGATACCTTTGAAAAACAGCAAGCGACAATCTCTTCATGAGAAACTTGTATGTTATTGATACCCTTGAAAAAACAGCAAGCGGCGGTCTCTTCATGAGAAACTTGTATGTTATTGTCACCTTTGAAAACAACAAGCGGCGGTCTCTTCATGAGCAACTTGTATGTTATAGATACTTTTAAAAAAACAGCAAGCAGCGGTCTCTTCATGAGCAACTTGTATGTTATTGATACCCTTGAAAAATAGCAAGCGGCGGTCTCTTCATGAGCAACTTGTGTGTTATTGTCACCTTTGAAAACAACAAGCGGCGGTCTCTTCGTGAGCAACTTGTATGTTATTGATACCTTTGAAAAAAAAGCAAGCGGCGGTCTCGTCATGAGAAACTTGTGTGTTATTGTTACCTTTGAAAAAACAAAAAGTGGCAGTATCTTCATGAGCAACTTGTATGTTATTTACACCTTTGAAAGATAGCAAGTGGCGGCTTCTTTATTTGAGCAGCTTGTGTATCCCTAACAATAATGTTTACTCAGCAAATGACATCTCTTCGGAAAATCCCGTGGGGAAGTTTGTATTTTTTCCTTTTCAAGCGATATCTTGGTTAAAGAAGAAATGTATTTCCGTTCTTGGTGAAATTCATAAGTCAGAGATGTTTATTTCCAGTCTCAGTACTGATGCCAATCATTTGCCAGTCTCAGTACTGATGTCAATCATTTCCTTTTCCAATCATACTGCTGATGTCAATCGTTTGTTACCAATCTCAGTACTGAATTTACCAGTTTCAGTACTAATGTAAATCATTTCCCTTTTCCAGTCTCCGTACTGATGTAAATCATTTCTTTTCCAATCTCAATACTGATGTAAATCATTCATTTCTTCCCTCAAAGTTATTCTCTAAATAAGAGTCTCTCATTTGAAGTCTATGACTCTGTTTCCCCAGTGGAGTTATAATCTCTTCCCTTGTGGGATTACTGTATAATGTGCTTGGTTTCTCCAGCAATAGTTTGTCTCATGCGGCATCACTCCTCATTAAAATTCAAAATATTACATTCGTATCATATCATAAACATAATTGCGGTATCTTAAGGCCAAAAATTGTGTTCTATATTTAAGTTCTTTCAATCTCGTAGAAATGAAGATTCCAATCTTCATATCTCTGGATAGAAGAAACTTAAATAGGGGAAGCTGTCATACCCCAATTTTGACCTAAGATCCCATTTTTATTGTTTGCATTTTTATACAAAAGTCAAGGTCACGAAGTACGGTTGATTTTAACTTCTCACCTTCGAGCATTGACTATGCAGACATTGTCAAGTATTTTGAACATTCTTAGCCTATGTATCACTAACTTCTAATCAAGCACGAAGTGTGTGTTTTTCGTTTCTTTGATTTCATTTGCAGGAAACAGATCTGAATCAAGAGCATTAGGCGTCACGCCTCGATTAGGGTTCAAAATCTCTCAAGCCAGAAGTACATTTGATCGTTGATTCTTGAAGACTGATTCATCAGGGGAATCGTGTGTTTATTTCCACGCCTTGTTCGACAAGTGGTCTCAAGCTTCTCCACAACTTTCTCAGAGCATAAACAAGATTTCATCATCACGGGTTCACATGTGCATCAAGATGCTTTGGAATGCAAAGAAAGATCAAGTTTGCTTCCATCCAATTCCAAGCCTTGAATTGCAATTTTTCAAGAAAGTCATCCGCAAGGGCAAAATGGTCAAAAGCACACTGAAAAGTCAAACTTTGACTTTCATATCAAATCAAGTTTCAATAATTTTATTTCATCAAGACATGAGATTGGTTCATCAAGAAATCAAGAGTCAGAAGTTACTTTGGAAAAATTAATTTTTCTATACATTTAGAAAATTTTCTAAGTGTCAAGAGTATGTGATACTTCAGAACTTCTGAGTCAGCCTCCATGCAAGTGCAGTCAGAAGTTACTTTGGAAAAATAAAATTTTCTAAACATTTAGAAAATTTTCTAAGTGTTAAGAGTATGTGATACTTCAGAACTTCTGAGCTAGCCTCCATGCAAGTGCAGTCAGAAGTTGCAAATTTGGTTCAGAACATAGCCTTCAATCAGAACATGGCTCTTCAGACTCCATGCAAGTGCAGTCAGAAGTTGCAAATTTGGTTCAGAACATAGCCTTCAATCAGAACATGGCTCTTCAGCCTCCATGCAAGTGCAGTCAGAAGTTGCAAACGTGGTTTAGAACACAATCTTCCATCAGAACGTGACTCTTCAGCACATAGAGGTTATGCTTCTGATCTTCTGTAATCAGAACATTATCAAATCCCAAAACCTCGTTTCAGTAACCTGCTTCCCTGCTACATTACAGTGCTGCAGTCCGCTGCTGACCCAGTCCATGCCTGCAATTTCTCAAACCCCATATTTGCATCAAATTAGCAATCAAAAACTGTGATTAAAAAAGCATTGGAACAGTATACCAAAAAGGTTTGAATCCCATTTGTCCCCCCCCCCCCCCCCCCAAAACCATAACAAACCCCTCTATAAATACTTTGCTCCATCACACGTTCAAGGGGTTGGTTTTTTTGGAAGAGAGATAGGGGCTAGATTTTGGAAGAGAGATTGGTAAAAAAGGGAGAGAAAAGGAAGTTGAAACCTTCATAAAAGTCCAGAAATCCCAAACAGAAAACCAAACCTTTGTTCTTCCCTTTAAATCAAAGAACTTGGAATTTTCTCTTCCGTTACTCTTGTTGATTCCAGAACATCCAAAGGCAGCAACTCAAAGCTCCAAGCACGCTCCAGGTTCAAGGTAAGTCTTTGACTTTGCTTGTTTTTCATTCTGAACATCATTAACATGTAAATATCATAGTATTAATGTTTGTCGATATCATTACATGAATAGAAAAATTATGGATCAGAGTTTCTTGATTAGGGTTAGACTCATATTTAGGATTAGAACTTCTATAAGCTGTTGTGCTATTATCCTTCTGATTTGCTGTTTATTAAGAACTGAATAAATTGCTGATGTGCTGATTAAGAGTTGAAATATGGCATAGAACTTCTGATTTTGATACGCTGATAACATGCTGAACTGCTGATTGTTTCACTCACTGTTTTAAGACACATAACTTCTAGGATTTTCTCATTGTTTAAGAACGCAGAACTTCTGAGTTACCTTCACTATTTTAACACACAAAACTTATATGATTTTTCTCACTGTTGACACACACTGAACTTCTGATGTTCACTCACTATTCTAACACAACACAAAACTTCAGAGTTCTCCTTACATGTCAAGTACACTGAACTTATGATGTTTTCACTCCATGTTTTAACACTTAGAACTTCTGATTTTTATGCACTGATAACACGCTGAACTGCTGATTGTTTGTTCACTGTCATAGCATCATACAGAACTTCTGAGTTCTTCCTACTATTTTGACACACACATAACTTCTAAGATTTTCTCATTGTTATAACATTCATAAGTTCAACACATAGCAATCCAGAACTTCTGTGTTTTCCCTCTAACATGTCTTGCAGGACCTCAGAGTGTATCAATCCAGAACTTCTGACGCTTCCTTCAGAATCAACACGCGCTTGGCTTCAGAACTTCTTATCCCTGTTTGTTTTGCTTGCAGTAGCACGCTGTTTCTATCTTTCATTTATTTTCTTTCTCATCATTTTTAATATTAACTCCTTTTTTATATTAACATAAAAGACATAAAAATATTTTCCTTTTAATTTATTCTTTTTTTTTAATTCATTAAGACAAAAACTCAATTTTCAAACTCACACCTTTTAAGTCAAAACTTCGACATTAGGTTGTCGTATCTTCAAAATCTCGTCCACACCCATTTTTAGCCAAACAAACCATTTTAATCAAACAATTTTTTTTAAAAAAAACATATATTTCAAAAGGTTCCTATAGGATACTATAGATGCATTGGGTGCTAATACCTTCCCATTGCATAACCAACCCCCGGACTCTAGATCTCTTTTCAAAAATGGATTGCATTTTCATTACTTTAAATATTATTTTACATTGCATAGTTTAGGGTTTTATTTCTCTCTTTTCCCTTTTCCCTTGGAAATAATAAAGCGCGGTGGCGACTCTTGCTATTTGATAGTCAAGTTAATTAATAGCTTGATCTCTGATTTTCACCGCTACAAAAGGAGATGTTTGAACACTGAGAGAGAGAGAGGAAGAACTTTTTCATTCATTCGCAGACAAAATGAGAAAGCCAGAAGACAAAAAAAATCAAAGAAACTTACCTCGCCAGAAAACCGAAGACGCCGCCGGAAAATTGCTCTTCTCGCCACAGATTCACCGCGTCAGAGAGCCAACAACCACCGTTCCTCAAGTTTCTTCCACCAAAAGGTTGGGAACCTTCCCCTAAACGTGAATCCACCCTTACTTTCTTCAATTATGTACAACTGTTGTTGGGTTTTGAACAAATAATTCCAAAATTCATTTGTAGATCTTGATCAAAACTTTGATTTTCTTAAAAAAGTGACCACGGATATGGAAAGACGAGAAGAAACTGAATCGGAAAATGTAATTTTTTTTGAAAATGTCGCTTTTCGCGGCAGTGCCGCCGTGAGGCTAGCTGGCCGCGACCGCGTTTCTCTCTCTCTCTCTCACCTCGGTCGTCTCTCATTCTTTCCTATATCTTTTATTTTCCGTTTTTTTGTTTTTTTAAAAGAGAAACAAATACGATGATGATGGTTTAATAAGGAAGAGAGAATAAGGTTGGAAGAGATGAAGAGGTGGATATTTTTTATCAAAACAATTTTAATATGATACTCCCTCTCTCTCCGTGTTATTCTGTGTTGTTTTTTGTTCTTCTTCAATTTAATTTTCATAACATGTTGTCCAGGGATACGCGTCAGACGATACAAGGAGGACAAGTGGTCCTTCCGCCACTTGTCCTCATCTGAGAAGATGAACGAAATTGTGATTCTCTACACGAGCACTTACTGAATTTACAGTGCACTTGCATTCTGGATCTTTGATCCTACATAATATTTTCCAGTTTACTTGATCAATGGTTCACAATTTTTTTCAGTTTTATTTTATTTTATTCATTTCGTTTTAATTAGTTTAAAACTTCAGAAATTCATTTTAAATTTATTTTTTGTCCGAAAATTCTGAAAAAATTCACAAAATTCATTTATCTCATTTCTGACTTAGTGTATTTTTTATGGAATTTAATTTCGACTTTTGCTATTTTTAATCATTTTTCGTTCATTTGAGTGATTTTAATTAATTTAAAAATACTTTTCTGTTTTAAAAAATTACCAAAAATTTTGTAAAAATATTTGAGATCATTTCTTACTTTTATATGGTCTATTTTAATTTTTATTTGATATTTTGAATATAGTTTGTTAGTTTACCTTTTATTCTCATTTAAAAAATAATCTAAAAAATCAATTTTCTCATCCTATTTTGATTGTTAAATGAAATTTTATTTTTTTATATACTCTGGCTGATCTTGGACTATGTGAAATTTTAATCATGAGCTTGATTAGCATAATTAGAACTTTGGTGTTGAGTTTAACTCCACAAAAAATGGATGAATGATTTTAATAATAGCTTGATTAAATTCTTTGGTTCAAATGTGGAATTTAATTCTTGTTCATCTTCTCCCTTTTCTTATTCTTGCATTGTGCTACATGTTGTTAGAGGATGATCTACATATTAACTCTCTAAACATATAGCACATAGAATGCTATTGACCGACCTCAAAATAGGTGAGAATTTTATATAAGTCCACTTACGATTGCTTAACATAACGCTAAATTTTGTCCAGATTCAAGAAATGATCAGTCGTGACCCAAACTCATGTTTGCAAGCCCAAGTATGTTAATTTGAAACTTTTGATCCAATAACCTTGAGATTCATTGTTAGGAGGATTTGGTCTTATCAATCCTCTAATGAACCTTCATAAACTTTGGTCTAAGTGAATCACTTAAACATCGTTGATCGTTTATTGTTGCCTCGAAAATTTGAAATGAATGATGTACTTGACAAAAAGCAATTGAAACTTGTTGTTAAGAGGCTTTGATTTTATCAATCTTCTAACAACTTTTCAAATGCAAGTTTCAAGATGATCATTCAACTAGCCTTTAATCTCTAACTCATTAACAATTGACTTTTGTCTTTATGCTTTTACTTTACGCCTTTAAGTTTACGCACCATTTATTTTAGCATTTACATTTCATGCTATTTTCATCTTTGCTCACTTGAGCTTTTCATTTTCTTTTTGAAGATGCCTAATAACCAACTTGAACTATAAAAAGATTTAATGTTACCTGGACTATTTGGTTAATATACTTAGCATTGGGGTTATTTACTTCTTGGACCTAGGAGTAGAGACTTTGACCTACCTTGAGACCTGGTGACTTATATTGCTATTTTGTCTGGAGATCTTGGGGTTTACCCCAAGACATTGGGTTGTTTATTTTCTTTGTATGCAGGTTATTCTGATTATATGCTTCGTCTGTGATTAGGAATTCATCTGTATACAGCCGTTACTCTGCCCAATTTTTATGAAGACTTAATGCCTTTGAAGCTTGGTTTTCTTAAAAGGTTTGTTATCTTTGCTTGTTTGGTTTCAAAGACAAAGGATTGGAATTCTATATTGACTCATTGTGTCAAGTGTTGGCTCCTTGTTAGTTATACAGTTCTTTTCCCTAGGTTTTACCTTATACTTTAGGATAGTCCCTTCATCTCCTCCGATCTTCTTAAATTTCAAAAGTCTTCTCCCTCCTTTCAAAACTATTCTTGTTTTTTTAAACTTGAACTGCTTTCGCAATAAATATGGACTTATGTCCATGCATTTTCAAAATATTTTCTTAATTAAATTTTAAACAACTTAATAATACTTTGACAATTTTTTGTGAGAAGACTAAAAGTCAATCAATCTCATTCAAACCATTTTTTGCCACTTTTTCTTTTTATTTTAAAATTTTCCCAAAAGATTAGACTCTTGTCAATTTTTGTAGTGATGCGAGCTACTATACTTTTATGATATATAGTGAAGTTAGATATTTTGCACTTGGGTGTTGAGTGAGGCTTTGTCTATTTTATAATCCAAGCCATATCCTCCACTTTGAGATGATGCAAATTCTCCTTTCTCATAATTGTGGGTAGTAAGCATGTTCTTCCACTCGGATAAGACGATGATGTCTCGTCTCTTAAAATTAACCAACACACTTGTGTTTTAAATTTTTTTAAAGGAAAACTACGACTACCCTGATCCCCTATTGCACGGAAGATGGTACATAGGCACTAAAGGTTCGCAACTGCGGTGGGTGCAAAAATTATAAAAAATACTTCTTTTCTCACTTCCACCATCTTTTTTGTATACAACACCTATAGCCAAAATACACAAATTTTCAAAGAGGTTCCTACGGAGTACCATAGATGTCTAGGATGCTAATACCTTACCTTTGCATAACCAACCCCCGTACCTAGATTTTGTCCCCCTCTTTGTGGGTTATTCGCTCTTTTCCCATTCCTCTAGAAACAATAACACGCGGTGTAGAAATTTATTTGATCTGTGCGAGTCAGGTCAATCCAATGGCTTAGTCTCAACACTTATACTACTACACATGCATTATTGAATGAATGTAACCATCGAAATTAGTTTATATGTGTGTTTAGAGCAGGTTGTAGTCGTTACATGGAGTTCTTGACATCCATATCTTGATTTTCCATTCTTAAACCGAGTTAGGGTTTTTTCTTCGAAACTCATGATACAAAGACTTTTAGCCAAAACTAAGCCCATATTTGGATTCAGGAGGGTCGAATTAGGAGGAATAGGACATTTTGGATCACTAACCATTTGAATTTGCAGGTTTTGAATAACATAGTTCACCGGAGAAGACGACCGGAGCTAGGGCTCCGGCGCCTCTCCGGTCAATGCATGCTGATTCAAATTATATATTTACTATTTTAATGATATAAACGGATGAAACAGCCACCCCCGTGGCAGAAGCGTGCGCGATAAAGCATTAGTCTCAAAGGGCATAGGTTCGATCCAACCTTTTGACGTTTTGTTTCTTTAATTTCTCATATTTTTTAGGTTGATCATAAAACATGTTGGAGGCGTTACCTTGACACCAAGGCGCGCTTGGCCTGGTGGTATGCTTGATGATGAAACTTCTTGAGGGAGTGGGGTCAACACCCACCCCTACTCATTTGGTCTTTTTTTTCTTCTAATTATATGTTTCTCACTATTTTACAAACCCTTTTCCAAAACCTTTTCTAACAAAACCCTAATTTTTTAAGGTTAATTTAATTTTTTAGGTTAATTTAATTTTTTAGGTTAATTTAATTTTTACGTTAATTAATTTTTAGGTTTTAATTAATTTTAGGTCTTAATTAATGAACTCTAATTTAATCCTTTTAGTTTTTCTTTCTCAAATTAAAATCAACCTAGACTGTAGGGTTTGATTAATTTAATCATTTAATCAGTTTTTTCCAAATAAAAATCAATTAGGTTTAGGTTAAATCATCAATTATTTTTCATCACACAATTTCTTTGTTGATTTTCCTTTTTACCGTTTCGCGCGCTTTATTATTTTCGCATTAATTTTTTTTCTATTATATAATTGCTACAGAATGTAATAGTATAACTAGGGTTTTATTTGCTTTCTATCTTCCCCAGTTTTATGGTTTGTACCCCCTTCCCTGAAGCTTTGTAATAGCGTAGGACTTTTAATTTATGCTTTTACTGTTTTCCTTATAACTGCTAGTAATTAGAGCATGTATGGCAAGATCTAAAATCAACCGTTAGATAACCCTAATCAAGATAAAAATAACTGAATTCAATATACTTTCACACAGTCCCTCGAATAAAGCAGTCATGTCCCTCGAAAATGGGACGCTTTAGCAAAGACCCGCGATAAAAAGATCGCAGTCCCTCAATGACCCTTCGATGCTGCCTTCGGTAAACGATCTTGTCCCTTACGATAAAAATTGCTAAAGGACCCTACAAGTTGCCTTTATGACTGTATAATGACCTGCGCCTCTCCCTCGCATATCCAACGATAGGGCTTCCTGCTAACTAATGGTAGGATAATACTATCTAAGAAGGAGAAATATAACACGAAAGACTTTTGAGTAAGGGTAGAATATTGTTAATCGCTTGCTCGCATAAAACATTTTTTACACAATAACACTCTTCAACAAATATTTTCAAAGTAAACACTTTGTACGCATTCTCAACGAATACGAGAATCATTACAAAGTTTGCCGTACTTAGGCATTTTCAAAATATTTTCAAACACATAACACAAAAGAATTTTCAAACAAAGTGAGCTAGAGATTAAGAGCCCGTAGATAACTACAGATGAAAAGGGTGCTAACACCTTCCCTTTTCATAACCTACCATCCAAACTCAAGAAAATCTCGAAGGTCTTTCCTGTTCTTTTCACCCTTTCATTATCGGATAAAAGAAAATTTGGTGGCTACTCTTGCTATCCATAACATTTACGATAAAATGCAAAAATAAAAGTTAGTTCTCCCACTGTATTACAATGATGATGGAATAATAATAAGGAACAAATGATGATCTTTGTAGTCTTAAGGAGAAAAACCTAGCACGATGAACTTTTGTTGAAGATCTAATACCAAGCTCCAAACAAGATAGACAAACGATATTTCTTTGATCCCATTAATGAAGAAGGATTGAGATAGTGAGAGGAACAAAACTT